TCTAGAAGTTCCACAGAAGCTGAATACAGAGCCTTAAGTGGCACCTGTCTGTGAGCTGCAGTGGCTGTCTTTTCTCTTACATGACCTGGCTATTTCTGTGGATGTTCCTATTCCTCTATGGTGTGACAACCAGACTGCCTTACATATTGTAGCTAACCCGGTGTTCCATGAACGGACCAAGCACTTGGACATTGACTGTCACTTGGTGAGGAATCAGTACAAGGCGGTTTTGTCACTCCTAAGAAGATTTCATCAGCTCTTCAACTAGCTGATATTTTTACTAAATCTTTGGGTGTTTCTTTTTTTAATGTACTTAGGTTCAAGCTTGGCCTTGTTGATCTTCATCAAGTGCCAAGCATGAGGGGGGAGGGGGGCTGTTGACCATATGATGTATTTTTTACTAGTTAAGTGGTAAGGGGTATCTTAGTCTTTTCTTTTATAATCCTTTTACTTATTTGATGAGGAATTTATATATAGCAAAATACTAGTTGAACACTGTAATCAAAAAGTCACTATTGTATCTGCTCTTTTCAGTAAATGAAGATGAATTCTCTTTACACTTTCTATACTGTTTCTCTCTGGTCTACCATTTGACAATTATGTTCACATGCTTTATCAACGATTGCATAATACGCGTCAAGTACGCGCTCAGTTAATGATTACACTGGAGAATTTTTTCAGCTTCTCACGTGTGGATGTGGGCGAAACGACGGACCAGATAATGTCGCAGTATATTGGCGACTTGTGTGTCCCTATTCAGGATACGTTGAATATGTTTGTTGAGGAATTTATTTCAGCCACGCCCCAACGGGCTCTTCTGGTGGAGTGACAGATGGTTCGGGGGTTGACGGGCTTTTTGGCACCATCCCTCAGTTCGGGGATGTCTCGAGTCCACTTGTTGTGGGCCCTAGACGTCCGTCAAATTCGGCCCTTACAGGTGGTAAAAAATTGCTGGCAAATTTCTAGTGTTTTATGTGTGGCGAGTCGGGTCATCGACAAGCTGTTTGCTCGAAGTCTGGCACTTCGCACGCGCTGCTCGCAGATGAGAAAAGGTTGTTCGACTATGTGGGTCTGCTTTTTTTTTTTCTTATGAAGAGGGCCATGTGGTCGTGGAACACGTGACGGAGGACATCAGTCCGACACTTCTTCTTTGTTATTCATGTTTGTTGCAATCTCACCAGTTCGCGAATTCCATTTCAGCGTCTGATCCCGTCGATGATGTTCACGTCGGAAATAGCACGTTGTCTGAGTTTCAAGAAAAAATAAATACTGAAGGAACTACAATGGACACTTTTTATGAATTTGATGGTAATCCAGAAAATCCGACGATGCTGGTTGTTTTGTCGTCACACCCTGAATCTTATGAAAATTCAGGCGAAGCTACAGATGAGCCATTGCCTTTCGATGACACAAATAATGTCCCATTTTATCCAATTTCGATCTTGATGCTACAAAGGGCGCAAAATAAGTTAATGAGACACCTTTGCCAGATACTGAAAAATCTAAAGGTTTTAATGATAATGTAATGGCTGACAAGTGGCAAAATTGTGATTCTTCCCAAGGTTCATGGGTGAGAGACAATAGCTATATGCTTTCCCGACCGGGTTCTTGTCTATACGTCCATGAGGGTTTGATGTTCGAACAACATGAGGCCTGATTTTGAGTATCTGAAACGGAGACAGAACCTATATGGATGTGATATTCCTATGTTCAATGCAACATACTTTTTGGTGGGTTTTAGAAAGAAGCATGTTCTGCTGGTTAATACACCAGACTTTGATATTGTGAAAGAATATAAGAAATCCATCAAGACCTAGTCTTCTTGGGTTGCGAAACTTTTACCGAAACAACTGGTGTTTTATCGCGACTACTCGTCTGCTTATTTCAAAGGTGGGGGTTGGGACTCTGGCTGGTCGTGCAATGGAGAAACTGAGCCCATAAAACACGACCCATTATTGTTAGAAAGAAGCATCTTCTGCTGGTTAATACACCAGACTTTGATATTGTGAAAGAATATAAGAAATCCGTCAAGACCTAGTCTTCTTGGGATGCGAAACTTTTACCGAAACAACTGGTGTTTTATCGCGACTACTCGTCTGCTTATTTCAAAGGTGGGGGTTGGGACTCTGGCTGGTCGTGCAATGGAGAAACTGAGCCCATAAAACACGACCCATTATTGTTAGCTATCCTACAAAGGTGACAGCTGTGGAGAAGATCAATTCGAATGCCTACTGCCTTCATTTGCCTTCTCCCATTTGCACGTATCATGTCTTTAATGTCAAGCATTTCGTGCCATTCCATGGTAACAATTCAAATGAAAACAAGACTGCGCTGGATTTGTGGTGGAATTCTTTTCAAGAGGGGGGAATGATGGAAACGAGATTGCTTTGGCCTTTTTGGACAAGCATGATCATTTAGCATCATTGATCTAATTATTTATTTTCTTTAGTTTATTATTATTGACATGTTAGATTTGGTAGGCAATATTAATTATTTCTCTATTTCTTTTCTTGTTAGGCAAGTTATTTATTTTGGGCTTTTAGGAGTTCTAACTAAATCACTCATCTCCTATTGTTCTATTTGGTTGATTTTGATTAATAAAAATTTATTCCAGGGTTTTCTCTCAAATTTTTCTTGCCCGTACGCTTTCACTACGTCACAGTCCCATAAAAAAGACTTCTTTCACCCAACAACTCATGAAATTATATGTTATATCAAAATCGCATATCCAAATGAACCGCACAATTAACAATTACGCGAGATTTTGTCATATATATATCCGTGCCTACCCAAATCGAACGCAAAGTTAGTAATTATGCGAAACTGATATAAGATACTATATGGGGTCAACTCAACCCGGGAAACAACCTGAATGAACTAAGTGAGCCAGCAGGCCGAATGAAGATCAGAAGCGCTACAGGTCGAGGAACCCTCAGGTCAATGAGGATGTTGCATGATCGAAAGAGCACCGACAGGTTGAGTTAGGGCCATGGATCGCCCTGGTTGAAGCTCGACAAGAAGGTATGATTGGTCGTACATCAATCAGACGAGCAGAGTATATGAGCTTGGCATCGTCACTACTCCTGCTCGAGGTAATTAGGGTCAGTCACACGATTAGACCGTCTAATGAGGAATAATAATGGATAATAAGGGATACTACAAACTATATATAAGGGGATATTTATGAGTACTCTTACATGATTATTCGTACTTATTAATTAACATTCATTATTACTAAATATTAACATAACGTTCATTTAATTAATGCAGGAAAACCAATTGGTGATGGAGTACCACGATTTTGTTATGAATCCAGCAGTTGGCTCTATAGTGGGGCCAACCTTCTATATAAAATAAGTAAACAATACTACATTTATAAAATTATTAGTATTATTTACAGAAATTCTATGGTGCCAATATGGTGCCACATGTGCCACCATAGAATTTCTGGTATTATTTAAGTAATAAGAGAATACGGTTTTGCTATGAAACCAACAGTTGGCTCCATAGTTGAGCCAACCACTTATATACAACAAGTAAACTTACCATATTAATAAAATTATATTATTGTTATTTAAGTAATCAGCGAATATAATAAGTTTACTTGTTGTATGTAGAAGGTTGACGACTATGGAGCCAACTGTTGGCTTCATAACAAAACCGGAAGAGAATATAGTATGATTTACTTATTATATATAGAAGTTGGCTTCGTTATGGAGCCAATTGTTAATTTCGTAGATGTACTAATATTAGCTCCACAATGAAGTTTGACATATATAATATGGATATGCTAGTGGGGGACTGCAAACGATTTGATTTGCCATTTCCAGTGCCGTCCAAATGGTGCCTGCGAGACCAGGGAACCTTATAAGACAGCGAACTAAGGTTCAAGCTTCGTTTATAAGCTATAGAATTAATATCTATGAAATAAATGAGGGACCTTTTTTTTTAACTAAAATAACTTGTAACAACAATGATAAGTGGTTTAGGGGACCATTTTTTTTTTTCAACATTTTTTTATGTAGGTGGGAATTCAAACTCTAGTGATAGTGTGACATTAATATTGAAGTTATTCGCTCAGGAGGTTACAGTTGTGATGACTTATTAATCAATAAGATCCTGAGGTCGATGGACTCGACGACTTTCGGGCTATACGATAGTTAAGGTTAGCTCGATCTATTGACTCGTGTTAGGATCAACATTCAAAACTCAGTTCTCCATCAAGCCCAACATACAAGCCCAAATAAAGTTCCATTCTAAAACTAATTGGCAATAGAATGAGTAACTCGCCAAACTTATATATTGGACTTGGAACATTTAATTTTGCGATGTGGGATTGGGTTTGCACACCCTACAACTCGAACATAATCAATCGAACACAATGTTGAACTATAGTATGGAAGCTCATGTGAATAAAGAGTTGCAAGATTATTTGAATTTTCTATACAATCAAAAAATGAGGAATGATTTTATAAAAAAATTGCATAGGATAAAATACCCTCATGTTTATTATTTTTTTTAATGGCATAATTTTAATTATTAAAATAGTCCACCTGATGGAGACGAGGCCGCTTTGGCGTTTCTGCAAAAATATGACCGTCTTCGGGCTTAGACTATCTATTTTCCGGTTTTATCAGTTTATTAGTTATTATGGTTTTTATTTATGTTATTTTATTTAGTTGAACAATTAATAAATAGGAGTTTGTGGAGTAGTGGGTTCTTCCTATATGTAACCACACTCTGAACAGTTATGTTCATCATCGTATTATCATTCTGAAAGAAAACAAAATCTGTTCTTGCGTTCTATTTTCCCTTTCGAATACATCCTCTACATCAGTTGGTATCAGCAGACCAGCCGACGATCCACGATGCCGCCGAAGAAGGACAAAGCCGTAATCGACAATTCCATCGATGAACGATTTCATAGGATTGATGAGCGTTTTGACGGATTTGACGAACGATTTACGGACCTATCATCGGGGTTTGAGGAAATGCGACTGACAATGCGTACAATGATGGACGAGATGCGTCGAAACCGCGATGGGGCTGACCGGGGCAATCGCGTGGGACAGCGGGGAGGTCGTGGAGGTCGAGGACTTGGCGGGGCGCCCCGCCGACTGTCACCACCTCTGCCGACCGGCGAGGATTCAGACGAGACCGTAACCCTCGAAAACCCGTTCGCTGATGGAGTTTATCCGCGGGCCACGGTTGACGGTGGTCTAGGGTTTCGGCACGGCGGGAATCGGGAGGCGCGTGATGGCGATTGGCGTCCGCGTCGTCGGTTTCCTGGGCGACCAGACGTGGAGGCGGGAAGAAATTTTCGCCGGGAGGGTCCGACTTCCGATGACGATTTGTGGGAAGAGGACGGCTTTGGTCGCCGCGACCGTGAGCTGTACGCCGATGAGGAAGACGCCGCGGGACTGTGGCAGCAGCGACGTGGGGAGGATGAGCGAGCAGCGGCGGGACATGACCGACACCGGCGTGCTTTTGAGGGCGGCTGGAATGATGGCCTGGGAACGTACCAGCGTGGCGTTCGGCGCCCGATAGATGGTGGCGAGGACTCGCGTTGGGAGGCGGGATTTCGGGTTGAAATTCCGGAGTTTTATGGCAGTGTGGAGCCGGGCGATTTTGTGGATTGGTGGGCCGCTGTGGAGTCCATTTTAGCTTTTAAATCGGTCCCGGAGGATAGGCGTGTCGCACTTGTTGCTACTCATTTTCGTGGACGAGCGGCG